TTGACCTGGATTTTTAAAAATCTTTTTATTCCCGAGGGCCAAGGGAATGCGGCTTGATGGGTAGGCAAGATTATTTGAAGATTCTTTTGTTAAAAGTATTGCAATTTCCATTTGTCAGGTTAAAAACTATGCAAGTACGGCCTAAATTCCTTTTCTGCCCAACAAATTTAGAGCTAGTAAAATAGCATTCTTTTCATGGTCTGTCTTAAATATGGATGACATTTACAGTTAGAAAGAGGGGCAATATTTGAAAATGGACCTTTATTGTCATTTTTATCTAAAAATGGCCTTTATTGTCACTTTTATCTAAGAAAAGAATGTGACTGCTCCCTTTTATGATTAAGTAGTGATGTGTACAACTTTTAAACTTTGAAGGAATGTCCTCAAACAAATATTTAAGCCATGTATTCATTAGCAAAATAATTTGAGCAACCACCCTGGGCTGTGGAAATGCAGTAAGCCAAACATAGTTCCTAGAATTGTATTCTTGATAGTTGTATATTTCCTTATATGTAAATTGAATCAAACACTATTTTTGGTACTCATTGCTGATTCTCTTAAAATACACAATTGGGTAATGAAAATTTAATAAATATCTAAGTATGTAAGAAGAATACATTAAAATAGAAAGGTTATAACTAAAGCTATGCTTAGTACACCCTGGGCTCTGCTGAAAAAAAAAAATAGATATATATATATATAGGCTTGGTCTGTGAATACAAAATGTTATAAATCAAGGGTCATGTGAAAGATGAAGAGATAACTTACCTTGTATTTTTAAAATCATTTAAAATATATTTCCTTTTTCATAATTCCAGATGATATATTTTCTCACTGAAATACTGCTATACATTGACACACGATTCGTTATTACATTAGGAGGAAGCATTAATATTTCCTCATTTATGTTAACATCTGGAGTTATATTTATTAAATGACCTGAGGATATTAGCATTAACAATAACAGTCATATCTAGATAAATCTGCCTTCACATCTGCAGACATATGACATCATCCAATAGCTAGCTGACACACAGATTATTTTTATTATTAGCAATGATAATTAATAGAAATACTTTGTACAAAATATAATTTTAAGAGCAATTATACATTATGAGAAAGTTATTATATACAATATGTTTTGTATTTATTTTCTTAAATAAAACCTTTTATTTTACTTCTCTGCTAATTACCAAATATTTTAGTAATTCCTCATTGTGTACTAACTAACATATGAATGCTTTGTCTGGTATTAAGGCCTTACTTGATCTTACCCCAATTTACTTTTATAACATGTCCTCCACTATTTCAATGTATCCCATTCGTCATCAAAGCTATACTTGACCCAGCTCTCTCTATATGTTATGAATCATTCCACCTATTGTTCTTCCCCCTTAGTTTCCAGCACTTAGGCTATTTCCTGAACTGATCTCTGCATGTCTAATCCTACCTATCATTTTAAAGACAGTATTAGATCTAATTCTTCAATGAAGCCTGTCCTCAATTTCCCACGAAAAATAAGATTCAAAGGAGATTCAAATTCTTTGGCATTTATCTATAGTTTTCTCTATACTTTCCTAAAGACTTTCAGCAATTTTATCTTGTACTTTTAGTCACTAAATATTAAGCATATTTATTAAACACCTGACAATCAGAGTGTTAGTGACATATCTGGAGTAGATGTTGGGTAAAAGGAATAAGAAAGTACATTTTCTGGTGAGCATTAAAAATTATTAGGAAACCAGCTAGATGTTATTTTTCTTTGTTATCACCATGTGTCAGCCATTCTAAACAGTAGCAGGGTCAAAATACAACTGCCATGAAAGGTTTTTGTTTGCACAAGATCTAAATAACTGCTGTGCTGACCATCATGTTTCTATTATGGATATATACACATATCTGTATAGTCAGCCTCCAACACACATAAACTCAGCTGCACACATGTTCTAAAAGCAAGTTCCTAATGACTTGGAATCATTCAAATTTTGAAACAGCGAGACATAGACCAGTCTGTGAGGTGTCATGTCTTGTTTGTTAAGTGCGGATTTTAGTTCATAAATGGAATATTTTATTTCACTTGGTCATCTTTAAATTTCAAAATTACTATTTTTTAAAATTATTTGTTATAACCCTAAAGGAAAATTCAATAAAATGTAATCATTAAGTAATAATTATACAGAGCTATTGCTGAAAATGATTCTGTTGTTCAGAGGGATGTAAAATGTGATTAACTTTGGGTGCCATGGTGTTAGGTGCTAAAGCTATAAAGATAACTAGCATCTCCAGACCTCTGGATCTTAATTGCCTTCTTAGATTTCCCCCAAATCTAAGAGGTTTCTGAGATTTGCTTTGTTGCTATTATTATATCATCTTTAAAATTGCATGCTCGTATTATCCATGTTAACACCAAAAGGGATCTCTGCTTCCTCCTCCCATTTTCTTCAAGAATAGCAGCTATTTGTATGAGTTTCAATTCTCCTGTTTGAAGTAGTCATTTAGAAGTTTTCTGTAATTTAACTTAACTTTCAAAGATGAAAGAAACATTGGGAAGGCAGCTCCTAAATGTACAGCCTAGAAATTTGACAGTGAAGTTTGTATTAACTTTACAGATTGCAGATTACATGAAAGATAAAAGTTTTTTTTATAGACTTTAAATATGAAGGAAAATACATTAATGGAAATTATGGCCCTAAAAGTAATTTTTGGAGATGAAAATTAAGAACTTATTATATTTAAACTGTGAAACAGTCTCATTTTATTTATCATAAGCATAGCAGATCTAGTTGAGTCAAACAAAAAATCATATTAATTTGGTGTTCAAAAGGACATATTAAATTATAAATAGTAAGTATATGTTTTTATGGTGAATTATTCAATAGTTTAACTATATTTGTTTGGATGAGAGAAGAAACCCTAACAATTATTAAAGTCAGGCAAGAGTGAAAAGTGACATAAGCAGTCTTAGAGTTCTGAACACAGTTTTTCAATTACTATCTTGTAGAGATAAAGAGAACTATTGCAGTAGTCAATGCAAGGAGATAAGATAAAACAACATAAAATAAAAATAAGAAGATTTGAGAAATGAAAAATAAAAATCAAACCTAAACTGGGAATGCTAAATGCCCACAAGAAAGTGCGTTACCAGTCCAGGAGAAAATAAAGGGAAGGTGGGAGGTGAACAGAAAACCCATTCAGAAGAGACAAAGGATGACACATACCTCTGAAGAAGATTTTTATGAGGAAGAACCTATAATTCTAGAAAGAGAAGTGAAAACTGCTCTGAAAATATTGGAAGTAAATCATCAGGGTTAGATGGGATACTGATATAATTATTCCAAGCCACTTTGTCAAAATCCTAAGGAGAAAACGTCCAGAAATATGGAAAACAAAGCAATGGCCTAGGAACTGGAAATACTCAATACATATCCCCATTTTGAAGAAAAGAAATGCCAATGAGTCTACTAGTAAACTCTTAGGACCATTACTGTAATTCCTACACAGGTAAAGTGGCCCTCACGGTGATGCAACAAAAACTTCTCCCTTACATGGAACAAGAAATGCCAGCTGTTCGAGCTGGATTCAGAAAAGGAAGGGGTGCTCTAACTGTAAGCATTTTTTAGATATGAAGTGCTGCAAAGAATTTCGGAAGAAGAAGATTGGTCTATGCATTATAGGCTACAGTAAAGCCTTTGACTGTGTGAATCACGAGAAACTATGGGATGCTCTAAAAGAAATGGGTGTGCCTTAGCATTTGATTATCCTGATGTGTAACCTGCATTGTGGACAGAACAAATTCAGATAAAAAATAGTTTCCTGTAGGCAAAGGTATCAGACCAGGGTCCATTTTAAGGCTAATAGGAAAAAGAACAAAAACAAAGACAAAAACTTCATTTGAAATATGGTGTTGGAGGAGAGCTCCACTGATAGCCTGAACTGCCAGAAAGACAGACAGTGAGTGGTTCCTATAGCCTGTCCTATGTTGGGATCATCATGAGAAGGCAGAGTTCTTTAGTAAAGATAATAATACTGGGGGAAATAAAAGGCAGCAGGAAAAGAAGAAGACCAAATGGGAGATGGATGAACTCTATAAGCGAAGCCATAGGCACCAGTCTATAGGTGCTGGCAGGGCTGCTGAAGACAGGGCATTGTAGACATGACTCACTCGTAGGGCCACCAGGAGTTGTCACTAACTCAATAGCATGTAACACACCCATGCCTGTTTATTCCATTTAACTGATTTAAATGCTTATATATTACTAAATGTTTAAAAAACATTTAATGAAATGATCAAGAGTAAAATAAAATATGGAAAATCAAGATTGTTTTAATATGTATATGTTTATGTTGCCTTGGAGTTTAATTAGTAGGTAAATTTGGAAAATATTTTTTTAAGTCTATACCGAAGCATATTTATAAAGATGCAAATATTGACCTAAATCATGTACATGATATACAAGTTGGTGCTAGCATTTATACAAGTTTAATATACTTGAACATTTCACACATTTGTCATTTAGTCATCAAAATAACCCTATCTCTAAGCATTAATTCAATTTTATCTATGAGAAAACTGTTTTTAGTAGGTCATTGAGCAAGAATTGGCAAAGATGGAAGTCAATTCCAAGCCTGCCTTATTTATTTATGCCTTACATGCATCTACTCATTCAGTAGATGTATGCTGCTTACATTGAATTCATTTAGCCATGAGAAAAGCATTTAGTGTTGGGGACAAAACTATCTTAATCTTTTTCTTAGTTTTTATTTATTTACTTATTTATTTGTTTTACATTTTTATTGTTGAAATATTACATATGTACCTTCCCTCACCCCTATTGACCTCTTCTCTTTTCCCTCATTTGAAAGTTCAAAGGCTGGAATATGTAGGCTCTCTGTCTTTATAAGCAATGGCATTAATAGACACTGCCTGTCATCACCACCATTTTTACTGGGTGATCAACTCATGATGGTAAATCTGTATCTTTATTTCTTTTTTTCCCCAGAATGATGTAGGAGGACAACGCAGCCTGATAAACAAGTGGACTACTTTTCTTAAGGCCAGATTGATTTGCTCAATTCCTGGAAGTGATGGGGCAGATACTCATTTTGATGAGCTCCGTAAGTCACATATTTAATTTTTTTAAAAAAAGTCTTATTGTCTAATTAATTCAGCATTTATTTATTTTAGCCCTGACTGCCTGATTATATAGCCCAGTACAACTTGAAGGAGTGGTTCTTACTAAATTTGCACACATAAGAAACACAGATGTGCTTTAGGTCTGTAATGAAACAATTCTTCCTCAGAGTTAAGAGGGAAACAAAACTACAGCCAGAGACACTAGCTCTGGGACTGCAATGCCCATGCATTATCCATGTAGTCTTTCACTTTGGAAGGAGCCACTCTGTATACAGGTAGAAGGACCCTGGGTTCCTTATTCTGTGGATGCCCCCTGCTGGACCACATAGGAGACTTGGTGAACTCTGTCCCTCAAACTTTTTAATAAAAATACTAATTTTTTTAAAGAGAGGGGAGGCGAACATATGTAATACTTTCAACAATAAAGGTAAAGTTTTTAAAAATTAAATAATAATAATAATAATAATAATAATATTCAGAGGAGCATTAGACCGCTTCTTTCTGTCACCCCCACCCCCTTTACTCCTCTCAAAGCTAATACAAGAAGGAACTTTCTCAGTTTCATATAAATTGAGTATTATTACCTTTTATCTTCTTGAATTTGTCTTTGTTGGTGATATAAAAAATGTTGTATCATTGATGATTTTGTCAGGATTGTATTTTATAGTATTAAAGCATATATTCAGTATTCATGGATAATCTCTAATGTTGACAAAAGCATGTTCACATGTTAAATAATCTTTTAAAAATATTTTACACATACTTCAGTGTCAGTGAAAAGCAATACCACACAAGTAATTAATTTGTGCAGCTATTTTCATACATTTACCAAATAGGTAATGCAGTCACTAATAAGTTGACATAATTACAGGACAACACTTTTTACAGTGGTGGATAAAAATAGCCTAATTTCTATGTGAAATCACCTACTCCTCATTGGAAATACTGATGGAGATTACCAAGCAAACCATTTCATTTATAGGTGATGGAAGGAAACACCTAAGGGGTTTAATGTCTGATTCCATGTCACACACCTAGTAAGAAAACCAGCCTTTTGCCCTTACTTTCTCATGTAGTAATGTAATGACTTTCACTGTTACCTTCACTTTATATACTGTTTAGAGTTTCAGAACTATTGTATTATTAAATAAAAAAGCAAACATGCTGACTCAAAAACTAAAAATATAGTGAATCATTATTTTTTTCCCCATTAATAGAAGATATTTACTTACTCCCCACAAGAGATGAAAGGAACCCTGTAGTATATGGAGTCTTTACCACAACCAGGTAAGTTAAAAAAAATGCTTGTAATTCTTCTAGAAAATTGTTCTTATAAGTAAGAAACTACAGTTATATGTTTTGTCCCTTCCTTTCATGTGAAAAAAACACATTTTTTTTTTCATTTCCCCTTTCACATAGTGTTTCCTATAAATATTTTAATGTCAATACATACAATGTGTATTTGTTCTTTTTACCCCAATGGAGTGTCCGCTGGATCATTTGTCACAGTTTATTTCAACAGTCCCCTGTACATAGAGAGTTCCACTGTTTTCAGTCCTTTGCTAGTATACATAATGCCTCAGTGACCAAACTTAGGCATATGCCACTTCCTCTGTGGACAGGTATATCTGTGAGCTAAATGCTCAGACTAAAATGACTGGGTACAAAGACATATGCATATACTAATCATAATAAACATATCAAGTTATGTGACATAGAGGTAGTAAATACTAAAGAACTACATGTGTCAGTTGTGTGGCTAAGCCGTAATCAGGAAATGGGACACCCTTTTAAAATGTCATCACATGCTATCTTATTTGCACTTCCTCAGGAGATGGGAGCTTGGCTGCTATTATCACCTTACCATCACTGCACTTCAAATATAAGCAAAGGAAGCTTGTACACTTGTCATTAAAAGAGGAGCCAATTAGTAGTTAAAATGGGACTAGAACTAAAGGTGATTTCCTAGTTGTTATCCTGCATTATTTTCTCCTTTATGCATACTACTGTTCGGTACTTGTCATTGAATCTTGAGCAAGATTCCCTTGTACCTATGAATCTTTCTTAAAGACTATATGGACACTGCTTTATTTTATTGAATATTAATTATATTTAATTCAGTAACTTATATTGGGCCATGTTCAAAGTATACTATATGTCACTGTTTACAGTATAGTCTTTGAAATACTTTGCATTTTCCCCACAGCTCCACTATCAACTCTATCAATGCATATTGACATTATTATTGGAGAAATTGGCAGTATTGCCATGGGTATTAGAAAAATTGTCTTACGGCCTCCTTCTGATTAAGTTATTAAAATATTTTGGAGGCAAATGATAATTTCATTTCTGTGGCATTATCTTCATTTACATATACATTATACCTTATGTATAAACTAAAATGTACTATTGATTCAGAATGTACCAAAAAAAAATACTTGCTGGTTCATTATAAGATAGAACATGTGAAACTTTAAATGTAAGAATAAAAATGATATCCTGAGGAGCTAGGATTTTCTCCTCCATTTTTCTGCTAATTTATGTCTGAACTACAAGGTGCAAGGAGAGCAAGTGCCTGTAGTTACTTAAGTTAAGTATCTCAGCCGGAGGCTCTTGGCACCTCTTCATTCACAGAACTGCCTTTGAAGTCACAGTGTGTCCCACACTCAGGCACAGATATGTGCCAGGGTGGTGTGGCCCCAAGATAGTTAGTTCTCTTTTCCTCATACCCAGGTTCTGCCCACCCAGGGTGTGAAGTGACAAAGGTAGCTCTTTGTTCTTGGTGCACTTTATTACCTTATTTTTAAAAAAAAAATTTTCTTTATTGATTATGGTATCACATAATTGTCCTCATCCCCCCATTCCCATCCCAAACCCCTCCCCATGTATGCCCACCCCCTATTGTCCATGACTTCTGGTTAGGCATATATGCATACACACAAGTCCTTTGGTTGGTATCTCCCCTTTACCCCTCCCCTCCCCTACCTTCCCACTGAGGCCTGACAGTCTGATGGCTGCTTCTCTGTCTCCAGGTCTGTTTCTGTTCATTTATTTTGTTCATTATTTTCCCCTAGATGCGTTAGATCTATTATGTTATTTTCAATGCCACCCTGGAGACTGTGGTCATATCGGGATGCACGTCACAGCCTTTCTCCAATGAGAAGATGTAATTGATCTGCAATAATGAGCAATGGCATTAAGCATGAGGCATCATCCCTTTAAAATGTCATAGGCTGGTCATGTGATTTTTATGGGAACCTCTCTCTTCTTAGCAGCTAATTTTCTCCCAGATTCCTGTTCACTGTCAGCTCCCAATGTTTCCCATTAATGTCATTTCAAGAATATGAATGAGTGAGTTCTTCCTGCTAAGAGATTCCTTAGCTCATTTGCGGAGCACTGAGATATGTCTTTTTGATCATAAAGGGTGATCTTGTATTTTAGAACAGGAATCATTGAAAGTTTTAGACCCAGAGAAAATGTACTTTTGTTTCCAGAAATAAATCAAAAACAGAACATCTGATGGCTATGTTAACAGTTTTCATCATTAGTTGGCAAAACTCGTCAAATTTCCATGGAGCTTTTCTGCCTCTTAATCTCATGTGCTCCAACTCTGTGTAATTAAGTTCAATTTTAAGCATCAGATAAGACTCACATGTAAACTCAAATACAAGAAGGAGCAAAAAAGATTGGTTCAACATATTTTTTTAATTCTTTACTGTTTAACGTATTACATATGAATCCTTTTCCCCATTGACCTCTTCCCACTTGCTCCTGCTCCCCGCCCCCCTCAGCACATGCCCTCACTCCCCCTACTCACTGTGTCCACTGTGGCAAACAGTATGGGGTTTCCTCAAAAAATTAAAAATGGATCTCCCATTTGACCAAGTTTCAACATATTTAAATTAATTAAACATTAAACATGAAATAGCCAACATGTATGGTCAGTCACTCAATTTAAGAAAAGAGACACATAATTATTAACTACATGTCTAGATTATTCTTCATGCGACTGGGATAGAGGAGGCTGGGGGAAAGTCAATTGGGGGGGGGGGGGAAGGAAATATATGCAATACTTTAAATAATAAAAAAAGAAAAAAAAAGTAAATAATGCATCTTTTTATTTTAAATTCTTTAGAGGGCATTATGCTGAAATGAACTCAAATAAAATTTAAGAACATGTGGATAAATATAATACTCTTTTCTACATATTTCTTTCTATCCTCCAGTTTTTCTAGGAAATTCTTACTTACCCACTGTTGGTTTAGCTGCCACCTACTCCCTGAAAACTGACCAGATAGCCCAGTATTGGGCCCCTATTTGTGTGCTGCTTAGATTACTGCAACTACCCTTGAATAACTGTTCATACACTTCTTTTAGGCTATAAACTCATAGCCTGAGATCATACCTACATCTTGTCTGCAGCACCTCTCATATTTGTGCTTAATGAGTGTCCAATGAAGGAAACTGTGAAGGATTGAATCATGTTGCTTTCTTTCAGCTCCATCTTCAAAGGCTCTGCTGTTTGTGTGTATAGCATGGCTGACATCAGAGCGGTTTTTAATGGCCCATATGCTCATAAGGAAAGTGCAGACCATCGCTGGGTGCAGTATGATGGAAGGATTCCTTACCCCAGACCTGGAACTGTATGTATTCAGCTTAATAATGAGTCACTTTCGTAAGCCCATGTTCTCTTTTTAAATCTATTGTAATAAACTACATCCTTCACCACAGCAATAAGTACTATGTTGTTTTTTAAAATTACTATTATTTATTTATGTGATGTTTTAACATTTCCATCCTTTACTGGAATTTAACCTTTTTCTTCTGAGTAAAAAGTGTGAATAATATAGGAAACAATGAACTTAATCTTAAAGTGCAGACTACGCTGAAAATATAGCACTTATATACTACTTACATGGTTCTTATGGTACTTACATAGACTCAATGAGTCTGCAGAATCATCAAAATGATTATCTAGAATGAAAAATATTCTAAATTAGAAGGAAATGCCAATTAAGTATTTATTTCCCAACTAAAGTACTACATATATGTAGCTAGAGTCCCCACTTAAATAACTTCATCAATTAAGGAGATTTATTCAAATTATCTCCTTTCTTGTTATACACTGGTCTTTTTTTTTTTTTTTTTAAATGCTGCTTCTTGGAATAATATACATGGGTTAGCTAAGAAATGGCATAGAGAATCCTGGGTCCAAAATTCCATTCAAGTACTATAAATCGTGTTTAAAATATAGATGAAAAAGGAAATGTGTTTTAGAGTTTATACATTTGTCTAAAAAACCATTGCAGAAAATCAGTATGTGCATTATAAATGGAAGGCTTCTGTTTTACTGTTGATGTGATTAAAACAGTTTGTGATTTAAACCTCTAAGGATTTGTTATTAACCAATATTATATTGTTTTAATTCAATATTTAATGAATATTCAATATTACATATTGAACTTATATAAATAAAAATGTCGTTTATCCCATTTAGGATTTAGTATGAATATTACTACCAAGAGATCTAAAATTATCATCAAAATCTCTGAGAAAATTTGTTGCCCTAACCTGACTAATTCTACTAAATTTTTCTTTAAGTAAAATTATGAATCTTTTTATTTTCTACAAATCTCCAGGTTTAAAAATTTGGTAAAAAAAATAAATAAATAAAATAATTAAACATGCCTCACGATCCAGACACAGTGATAAGTATATCTTTACAACAACATGAAGTAGATATTTTATGAGTAAGAAAAAGTTCAATGAGTATCACCTCATGCTCATAGTCTAATAGTTTATGAAGTGATAGGACTGTGATTCAGCTTAGAGCTACAGAACTTCAAATCCAGTGCTGTTACCTCCATGTCATTCCACCTTCAAAACGAAAAATCAAACCACCAAACAAAACCTCGCATTGTTTCTCCAGGGAGAAATGGTCTGTTCTCTACACAAATAATGATGAAGTTTTGAAGCCATTTTTTTTTTTGCACTTGCCATTCCTTTTTATTTATTCCTTATTGTACTTGTAATTAGAGGAACATATCACACTTTATTTAATAAAAATATTGCTGAATAATATGCTTTCTATGAAATGACAAGATCTTTCCTGAAAACCACTTTCTTCTCTACTTAAAAATTTAAAATAGATTATTTCAAACCACCTCTGCTTTTACAATTTCTTCATCCATTTTGCTGTCAAAGTTGAGTTGTAGCTTATTCTCCCAAGAGTGACTTCTGTTGACATTACCACTCGGGTAAATAAACACTACAACTTGCAGGGTGCCATAGCTACTTTATTTTTTTAGTTCTGACATAATTATGTAGTTCCTGTGACAAGGCAAACCTAAACTCCTAGCCTTGCAGCGATAGCAGTACCCTACAGTGTTCATTACTAAGCCTGGAAACGTATGGATGCACAGGATATATTTACAGGATCCCTTCCCTTCAAGGGATTCTTCCGCCCTCTGGTGTCCAAATAGCATGACTGAACAAACTGTGTTTTGTTCTGATGGACTTTGTAAAGCATTAATGTGCTGGGAGTCTTGGTAATGAGAGGTTCCAAGTGACATGAAATATGGAATGATGTGCCATACAATGAATAGCACAGGTCAGATGTGGAAATCAAACTGAGGTCATGAGAAAAATATCAGGATGTTAGCTAATGCATTATTTGGAGAAAATTTTTAAAAGCAGATTTCTTTTTTTTATTTTTAATATTTGATTTATTACAATAGATATACTCTGTAATTTTATTCTGTTTTGATAAGGAATTTTTAGGATGTAGGCATAAATGTAAAGTATTTGATGTTTACTTAAATGTGAGTTTCCGTTCTTAAACCAGTCTCATTGAAAAAGTGAGAGGAAAGTACTTAAAATTGTGTAGTTGTGGTAAGAACATTTAATGTGAGATCTACCTTCTTAACAGACTTTGAAGTGCACAACACATTATTGTTATCTATAGGCACAGTGTTGTACAGTAGATCTCTATAACTTACTCGTCTTATGTAACTGAAATCGTATGCCCATTGACTAATAAGTTTCCAATTTATTCCCTCCCCTGATCCTGGGGGGAGGAAAGGAATCATAACTCTATTCTTTGCTTCCATGAGTTTGACTACTTTAGATAACTTATATGGGTGGGATCATGTGATATTTGTCATTCTGTGACTTACTGGTTGAAGTTAGCATAGTGTCCCAGTTCATCTCTGCTGTCATATATTGCAGGATCTTCCTTCCTTTTTAAGGCTGCATATGTATAAATCTATCACATTGTGTGTGTTTTATCTAGTCAAATATCAGTGGACATTTAGGCTGTTTTCACATTCAGTATGAAGATTCCTCAAAAACTTAGGAATAAAATTATATAGTCCAGCAATCCATTTCTGGGTATTTTTATTCAAAACAATTGAAATCAGGATCTTGAAGAGAGATCAGCACTCCCTTATTCCTCACCACACTATTCACAATAGCCAAAATGTAGAAAGTACTTGTTTTGGAAATTCAAATATTAAAGAAAATATATGTTTCACTGCTTATGAATTATTGTGCCAGTTTTGACAATATATAAAACTCTAATTTTGTAAAAATAACAAATTCCATTTCCCCCCAAATAGTTATTACTTTTACTGTTAAACTTTTAAACTTTATTTTTAAAGATTAAACACATATGAATTTCCTAACTGAGGCCCCATTTTGGTAGGGAGCAAAGTGAGATAGCTATAAGTACTATCTTTTAATTATGCAACTTGATTTAATTTGTGTACACTGGTGAATGATAATACATTATTATTCTCACTAATAATTTAAACCCAGAAAAACTTGGTCTTTTTAGTACGAAAAGTAGAAAGCGATATCAAAATATCCTGTTAAAAACTTGAGTAAAAATTGTTGAATCTCAAACAGCCCCTATATAAACATTTCCCCTCTCCAAATCTATTTTAGGAATTCAGGTATCTAGAAAAATTAAAAAATACTTCTTATACTCATATTTACATAACCAATTAGCTATTTAATTTAACTGACACACTGCAAAAACAATTTAAGTGCCGTTTTTCCCCCAGCTGCTACCTAATTAAAATAATGAAATACCTCCCTTTGTGTAACATTTCAAATCTTCACTAAGCAAGAAGTACAATTCTTCACACAGGTTTTCCTCTAGAGAAAATCAAAGGTAAAGGAGAGGCACTCTCCTCCCTTTACAATAGGGCCGTTATTGTCTCTCTGCTAGGAGATTAAAGTCTTCCAAACTCAAGATGTGGGTGTAGGTGTGTGTAGTAGTCCCATTTTCCACCACACTATTAGGCTTTCTAACACTGTAAAAGACATTGAAAAATCACAACATTTGATTCCAGGTTCGCTGGAAAGTTTATCATGCCAAATATGCTACTATGTACCAACTCTGGGCGCTGGCATATCCACATGTTCCAGAAAGGCATTCTTTTTTACTTTAACCTGTCAATTCATCATTGCCTTAACTGAAGTCGGTTTATGATTTTTGCTTCAACAAAGCAAAGCCTGAAGGGATTGCATCACAGAGTAATATCTAATGTTGATAACTCAATCTGTCTAGCAGACTGGCTATTAGTAATGCTGCTTACAGTAGAACTAGAATGATTGCTGAGGAATTAAATGGCTGGGGTTGACATGACCATGGAATCCACTAGTTCCAAAACTCTTTGGGTGCTCTGTTTTTTCTCCTGACCCTCTTAAAATATTTGGTTTTTGCACAATTGCATTTTCTTACAGACCTGATGATTCTCAGATTTAAAATATATATATATTATTGATTTTTTTACAGAGAGGAAGAGAAGAATAGTTAGAATCATCTATGAGAGAGAAACATCGATCAGCCGCCTCCTGCACACCCCCTACTGGGGATGTGCCCGCAACCAAGGTACATGCCCCCTGACCGGAATCGAACCTGGGACCTTTCAGTCCGCAGGCCGACGCTCTATCCACTGACCCAAACTGGTTTCGGCAATTATTAGAATTTTAAGCCTTCATTAATCCCCTAAATTAGATCTGAGTTGTAACCTAGATTGGCCCCATTAAATAAGGGTTTTCTTGATTACATTCTAGATAAGAGATGTATGAAGGTTAATTTGCAAACATAAGCATCCCTGACCAAAGAAAAAATACATAATTTAAAAAATCCAAAGGAAGTTTTCTAAACTTCCTTTTGACTTGTGGAGTGATAGACTGTGATAATTTTACCAACAGGGACTGAAAAATATGGAATAATTTTCTCACAGTGTCTCATGCTACCTTTTCATTTATGCACCTGAGGAATATAGCTAACATTTTGTAGCTTGCTTTGCTTTGTTTTGTTTTAAATAAAACTTTCCCAATTAATGTAAAATCTCTGGAGAACTGTAGGGAAGTCTCATTTTATACATCACTGGTTCCTAGATGCCTCTCTATCATATAAACCTTCACAGTTTCATTTTCTTCTCAACATTTATTCACTGCATGACCTTCTTCTTAATGCCAAATGTTTACTTTGTCATCACTTCTCTAAATTACTGAGGATATCTTTAATTCTATTCCTCTTAGGTTTTTGATTCTAGGATGGAGAATCAGAGGCAGGACTAGAATCTGGGTCTCCTGATTCCAAGAGCTTAACACTGATTACAATGAAGAGAATATAAGACAAAACATCACTTTCATTTCCCTTAGCTGTGTATATAGGTTGTGTTTCCTGGAAATGATAAGAGGGAATTGATTTTAACTTTCTTTTCCATAGAGCCAGCACCCACTTTTACAATGAGGGTATCCAGACTACTTACTGTGTTCAAAAAGGTTTTCTTTTTTCTGGTGTCACAATTCCTCTAAAGGAAAGGGAACCTTAAAAAAGAGAGAGAGCCCTTAGCTGGTTTGGCTACGTGGATAGAGCGTCGGCCTGTGGACTGGAGGGTCCCTGGTTCAATTCTGGTCAAGGGCACATGCTTGGGTTGCAGGTATGAACCCCATTAGGGAGTATGCAGGTGGCAGCTGATCAATGATCTTCTCTCATCTTGATTTTTTTTTCTCTCTCTCTCCCACTCGCTTCCTTTCTTAAATCAATAAAAATATATTTAAGAGACAGAGGGGGAGAGGGGGAGAGGTTTCTCTCTGTATTTGTACCCCTGGCCTTTCTGTCTCTGATATTAAATATAGGGTCTTTCCTATCATCGATAGCTGTTAAAAACTGACTCTGGAAATAGGATGGTCCTTATTAAATCTGCATTTTTTTGTTTTTGTTTTTTTTGCTTTATAAATAAAAATCAGATTCTTTTCTTGCATTGCAATTTATTTCTCCCAGTTTGCTAAAATGAAAGCCTGGTTTAGTTTTTTTCCTTGTGCCAATTCTTCCCTCACATAGTCATTCCTCTGATTTGTTTGAAAGGAAACTGCAACCTGCAGAGAATAGCCTGAAGCGTTGGGGGGAGAAAACTTGTTACAGCTGTCTGGTGCCTGGCCAAGGGGCAAAGTTCCCTCATTGGATAAAACCCATTTTTCTCCTCTTATCCATTGCTTCCCACTGCACTACTAAAGGCCCTCTACAAACACTCAGACCTGCCAAGCATAACATGATCACACCTAGCCAGCTGCAGCCGCCAGCCATGAGAGATAGGCCCTGAACCATGGCCTGAGGCTGTTGGGTTTACCCTTTCATCTCATGGTTTGTCTAGGCAGGTCTCTTTTTCACTTTACACTTTTTGCAGTATTATTTCCAGCCAGATAATGACATTCTAAACTTTGGTAAATTGCCCTTTTCATTTTGCACAGATAAGCTCCTTGACTTATTTCGTACAGTCACAGGAGCTAAATTAGCGGAAGTCGGGCCAATGATAGAAAGCTGGAGGCAGGAATAAATGGACCTCTACAGTATATTCAGATGGACTATGTTAATGCGTAGAATTTAAAAGTATGTACACACAGAGAAAAATCCACTTGATTTTTCATACCCAGAATGTAAAGCTGCAATAGAAAAACTTTATAGGATTTTCAAAAGGAAAATAGTTCAATATGCTCATTGGCTTGAGATGGACCATTTTCTGACACGATCTCTTTTTTCTGTATGGAGTTTCTCTTTCCTATTTCGCTCTGACCTACATCCTTTGCTTGGCATCTCAAGCTATTTTGATTTTTAAAAAATATATTTCATTGATTTTGTACAGAGAGGAAGGGAGAGGGATAGAGAGTTAGAAACACTGATGAGAGAGAAACATCAATCAGCTGCCTCCTGCACACCCCCTACTGGGGATGTGCCTGTAACCAAGGTACATGCCCTTGACCGGAATCAAACCTGGGACCCTTGAGTCTGCAGGCCAAGGCTCTATCCACTGAGCCAAACCGGTTGGGGCGTCAAGCTATTTTTAGATCCCTGTGCTCCATAGCTATACGATATCAAAGGAAAAATTCCTCTGGTTTTTAATGTACTGTAATAACAGTATTTGGTTCTAACTGTACTATCTTAAACCTCAGGGAGCAACTCTACCAAATCACTTTCATTTGTAAAAGCACAGTGGGGACCTGGACCTGCGAGATCGCACGGAGCAACCTGGAGGAAAAAGATCTTATACAAACACTGGCAGCATGCCACAAGGAAAAGCTGCCATAAAAAAAAAAAAATACACGCATTTTCAAAGATCATTTTATAGTGGTCAATAGAAACCAGGTTTCCCTTCTTCCCTTCTTTTTTCTAGATTTTATTACACTAAGACCTTTTTGTCAATGGAGAGCAATGAGGAAAAATGTCATATTTGTTTCATCGCTAAACGTGCATATCTTCATCCATCTATACCTTTTCATATTAAAAACCTGAATTATTTGAAAATGCGATACCAAAAAACTATGGCATCAATATCATCATATTGTTTCTTTTGAATTGTTGGCTACTGCATAACTACAGCTGCAAAGTCCAAAGAGATTCCAGCCACCCCTCCCCCCCCGAAGTTGGAGGGCTGTTTCAAAAATTTGCAGGCAGAATTTTGCTTTTGCTTTGATTTTAATGGGAGACCAACCAGATTGTACCGCAGGCACTGTAAGCTGTAAGCCTGCTATAAATTGCCTTTTGCTGAGCCTCAAACAGGCAGCCTCTAATTGGGCAAGAGCTTTGAATCACTTGAGCTCCATATCCATTCTGAGTTGCAGCTTAATCTACTTAATATGGCGTTCCTCCCATTACAGAGTTGATAGTGCACTGGCTGGAGGCTAAGTGCTGGAAGCACTGACTGCAGACACAAACTCAGAACTTTCACCAACCTGCAGTTAAGACTACGCTAAGTAATAACCAAATGACTGATATTCTAGGATATTTCTATTCTCTTTGGTGCAGACCTGGGACACATAAATGGATATTAAGAAAACATCAGTTTATTGAGACTAGTTATACAAGGGTTTGTATGTGTGTATGTAAGATAAAGGTATTTTCAAATTAATTTTTAAAAATCATTAACAGGTTTATTTTTGTACAACTTTGTGGTATTTTTCTAACTTAGTGAGCCATTGGTATAACATTGGGCCAAGGTCATATATTGTGACTTTAAAGCTATGTCAGTATCTTTAGTCCCTGAGGATGGCTCTGTTGATGCTCTGATGAAGAAGTCTGATATATTTTGGGCTTTTGACAGGATTCTAATTAATGCCTAATATAAATGGTTCAGTTCACTGGAAATTATTCTCAATTTGTCAAAAAACTAAAATATGGGAAAAGTAGCACATTCTTAAAAGCTCAATGTCACTCATTTTCTTCTGTATCATGTACTAGTAGCCAAAGTTTGCCATTCTAAAAGAATGCCTTAGCTCAGTAAGAATTCAAATATGGTAACATAATTATTCTGCAGTAACTTACTAAATTACAATAACCAAAGTCATAAAATAAATGTAGAAAACAGGAGTGGAGATATGTACTTAAAAAGTAATTATTCCTGTTCTTTGGATAAAGATAGAAAAGCATTTAATTTCTGCGAGTATGAATGTTTCACTTTTCCACCAGGGGGCAGGATATGCTAACTATTGAACTATTGGACACTAAAAGGCACTCGGGCAATTTTAGACCGAAGTGAGAAAGTTCCACAGATCCTTTAGGGGAAGAGCTGTTGAGTTGTTCACAGTATTAATTTTCACACCAGTTATAAATATGGTGTTTATTTAAAAATGAAATCTTAAATTAATTAAAATAAATGGAAAATAATGGCTTTCAGATTCCCATGTTTGCTGATTACTTTCTTAAAAATTATTCGACTCAAATTTTATGTATTTTTTACAAGAAATAAATATTTATATATATACATATATATATTTAATATATTTTATTGATATTTTACAGAGAGGAAGGGAGAGAGATAGAGAGCTAGAAACATCAATGAGAGAGAAACATTGACCAGCTGCCTCCTGCACACCCCCTACCGGGGATGTGCCCGCAACCGATGTACATGCCCTCAACTGGAATTGAACCTGGGACCTTTCAGTCCACAGACCGATGTTCTACCACTGAGCCAAACCAGTTTCGGCAGAAATAAACATTTTTATAGGAACAAAGCTTGCTGTGGAAACTTCAGAAAATACAGATAAATAGGTATAATTCATAATATTTTGGGGAGAGAAGATTGGATTCAGATATATATGAGGTCAACTGCATTTATTTCTCAGTACAAGTGATTCTACATTGATCCCATTCACCATTCCTTTAATATTTTCAGTGATAAGCTTTTGTATTAGAATAAAGTAGACATGTCTCAGGTGCATGAATAATACCCCCCCCCCTTTTTTTCAGTGTCCAAGCAAAACCTATGACCCACTGATCAAATCCACCCGAGATTTTCCGGATGACGTCATCAGTTTCATCAAGCGGCACCCTGTGATGTATAAGTCAGTATATCCAGTTGCAGGAGGACCAACATTCAAGCGAATCAATGTGGATTACAGGCTGACACAGATTGTGGTGGATCACGTGGTGGCAGAAGATGGCCAGTATGATGTAATGTTTCTTGGAACAGGTACCTTAGAACAAAATTATGCTTTCCTTCCAAGGCATTTTTCATTATTGCACAAATAAAATATAAACTTCAAAACTATTCATTGATCAAAACCAAAAGAGTACTTATTAGTTAATATCTAGTCAGTAGTTTTTTGTTGTGTTCAAGTGCCTCAATCTTTATTTATAGGAAAGTTACCACTTTATCCTCTCCACACCCATCCCTACCTCTTTTCTCATTAGTTCTTCTCTTGGGTTTTAAGTACCTAGGAAGTTTGGAGATCACCTTGCTGGGGAATTCTGTAGACTAAGAGAGATGCATCTCTTTCCAGGTGGTCACTCAGGAGTTGGTATTTCTTAAAATTGCATAACATGCCCTAACGTATTTGGTTCAGTGAATAGAGAGCATAGGCCTGTGAACTGAAGGATCCAAGGTTAGATTCCGGTCAAGAGCACATACCCAGGTTGTGGACTTGACCCTAGTAGGGACGTGCAGGAGGCAGCTGATCAAATGATTAGTTCTCATCATTGATGTTTTTCTCTCTCCCTTTCCCATCCTTTCTGAAATCAATAAAAATATATTTTAAAAAATTGCATAACACATGCTCTTAATTGACAATCCTAAATGTCCTTCAGCCCCCTTTAGTATTTATTTAAAATTTTAAAATATGTTTGTATATTAGGACTGCAATATGCCGGCTGTCCGGTAAGTTCCCAATATCTATTTGTTGAATGATTATGGACTAAAATTAAACAACTAGGACAAAACAGTGTTTCTTTATCTTCAAACATCACATTTGCCTTTCCCTATGAGATATTTGATAAGCCCTGCCCCAAAGGATCCTTTCACCCAGTTTTGAAAAGCAGTGACTTAACATTGCTTTTCAAAATACTTAAGCATTGCTTTGTAAAGTTCTTTAAATAGGAACTTCTTGAAGATATTTTTTTCTTATTCTTGAATTTTGTGGATTATGTATCACTTTCATTATTGAACCTGTTTTTGTTTTTGTTTTTATATTATTTTGTTGCCAACTCAATAGTTATAAAATGAAAAAAATACTTCCCCCCCCCCCCCCCCAGAAAAAGAACTATTGCTGATTTAGCAGGTCTTAGAAATAAAAATATTACACCCTGGCCAGTGTGCCTCAGTTGGTTGGGCATTGTCCCCTGCACCAGCTGGTTGTAGGTTTAATTCCCAGTCAAGGACACATGCCCAGGGTTGCAGGTTCCATCCCCAATAGGGGACATGTAGGAGGCAGCCCTTCAATGTTGCCCTCTCTCTCTCTCTCTCTCTCTCACACACACACAAAATCAATAAACTTTTTAAAAAAAATATTATCTAATAGTATCATATGAACTCTAATGGCAGTAAACAAAACATGTATCATTAATACAAAAGCACTACATCTTAGTATGTAATACAATGGATCAAGCATTGCATAACGATAGAAATGAATAGGTTTCCAAGCAATGAACTTTTTAGTGGAGTAAGAAATAGAAGTACAGAAAAAATTTAGAATAATTTTATCCTATAAACCTATTGGTTCTACAGAAGTTGGATTTACTAGGAATCCTGTGTGTAGCAGACTCCAATTGCTCTCCAGAAACCAGTTAAACCTGATTGTGTTGCAGTGGTAACCCTAAAGCCAAGGAAAACAGTGATGTTCCCAGTGCCACAGAGACTGTTACTGAAACATCAAAACTTGAAATAATCAGGTGTCTCTAATTCTGATGAGTTTGTCACTTAGTTTCTGCAGCCTACTCAAAGCTCATCCATAGGTTTTGCACATTTCCGTGCCATAAATGCCACTCTGCCACTAGGTGGTACTACCTAACTTTTTCTGATTGCATTATAGGGATGCTAAGATAGATTTTCAATCATGACATTTGGAAATTTTATATTTAATATTTTTAAAGATTCCGGAGTTGTTGAAAAACAGAGAAAATAATCTAGACTGATTTGTGCAAACAGGATTATTACCATACATGCTAATACCCTTTAACCATGGTGCTTAGAACTTTAAAAGCAAGTATTTTGTATAAGTTAATTTGCAAATGGGACTATTTTCTTCTAAAATGTTCTTTAGGTTGTCTTTCTGTAATGGTGTGTCCCCTTACAGAACTGCAACATAAGATTCCTACTTAAAGCATCTTTTCAAAAATTTTGCTTTTGTTTTATATTATTAACCTTTTAATAGTCTTAAACTATAATAATTTTAAACAAAACTTTAATTTCTAGCTCACCAATAATGTTTATGTGTATAAAATACATTTGATAAGTGAGCTACTGTTTCCTCCATGTAGATAACATCAATAATTTATCTTTTAAACATGTGTGTTTTTTTTTAAATAAATATTTTCTTTATAAAGATGTGTTTTATGAAATAAAAACTAGAATGTTTTGGGAAGGGAGAATCATATACATTAAGCTTTACTTCTTGCATGCTTTATTTAATCTGATTTCTTAAGAGGTATTTAAAGAAAAATTAGGGTGTTATCTGAAGGTTTCTAGGAATATGCTTACAACTGAACATTGAAGGAGAAATAGCAGGATTATGGGTAATGTATTTTTTTTTCTTTTAGACATTGGAACGGTCCTAAAAGTTGTTAGCATTTCAAAGGAGAAGTGGAATATGGAAGAAGTAGTACTGGAGGAGTTGCAGGTATTCAAGGTAAGACTCCATCCAGAGTTTTGGGAAAAGAGATGAAACTGAGTGGGCTTTGATATAGGGTGTTTTAACATCATCACTTTTCTAGGAGAATTGCTTGCCAACAACTTCTTTTCTTTCTCCTTAAGCTATGCAAAAGATGTTTACAACAGTTAAGAATAGGACTCACCTTCCCCTGTAGAAGAGCACTGAATTCAGGGCTCTCGGGTTGCCCCTCATTGCTGCATTCTCTGCAGCCTATGGCCAGACAAAATGCCACAGTGGATGAAAGCCTATATCTTTTGTTACTATCCTGATGCTTTTCTATTTTATCAATTTTATTTTTCAAAAATTCCTCATTTGGATTTGAGAGAACTGGAAGAGTATTCTCATGTGCCCTTGCTTTTCTGTAAGGACATTAAAAAAAAAAAAGGGGGGTTTATGAAAGTTAGTTTTCACATATGTTAAATTCCCCTTGCCCACCAAAAGAGTTAGTATACCTAAAATAATAGCTCTCCAGATTTTGGGAATGTCTTTGACTTTTCACAGTAAATTTGAGTTGTGGCATTCTTTGTAGATTCTTTATGAAATTCAATATAGAATTATTTTCTGAAAGCAACATTAGAAATAAGATTGCATTTCTTAGAAGAGCTTTTAAAAGCATGCTAAGCCTTTTATAACATTTTTTTTGTTGAAATTTTTATGGAAATAGACTGTTTCCGTGTAAACATTTTTTGCCCTAAAAGAGAGTAAAGCCTTCCACTATGAGGGGCTCAAGTTAAATAACATGGTGGGTTTTAGAGAATCCTGTTTACATTGTGAAGATAATAGTGGCCAAGGAGTTAACAAGAAAAAAAGACCTGCTATCTGACATCTACCAAAACCAAAATCTATGTCAAATATAAATGTGAATCCAGAAGCCAAAAACAAAGCTCCAAACATAGATAGGTACATTAGAATATTAAGTTTCCTTCAGTGGCTGTCAGTGGTCAAGAAAACTGTTTGGATTTCACTGTCAAGATTAAATAACAATAAAAAAGATTAAATGATGAACCTGTTTTATAAAATATATAATAAGAAGTTATTGTCTAGGATGTTCTTGCTTTCAAGACTTTTATTCATAATGCTTTTGTAAACTTTTTACATTTGCTCTTGTTTTTCAATTAGTAAATATTGACTGGTGAGAAATAAATGAATTTAGATGAATAGATAGATGAAAATATTTAAAACATTTCATCCTTTTTAGTTTGGAAGCTTTTTGTGTTCAGGTATCTGATTTTGTACTGCATGCACAGAGTCATCTTTTCTACAAAACTGGCCCTAGTTTATATCAAGGTATTATGTGCAAGAGCATTTTGCAGAGTTCCGTAAAGAATGTGGTCATCCACAAGGAGCACTATAACTCTTCAGAACTCTGCTACTTGAACACAGTTTTTCAACTACTGATCTAAGTAAGAGCAGAAAAAGGTAATAAATAATTATGGAGATGTTCTTGTCAGCACTAGTTTGAATTACATGGAAGCAGTTAAGATAAGCAGAAGAAGGAGAAACCTTTTGGGTACCTGGGAATGATTTTCAATATAGTATTTCTCATACAGTTAGGTGATTATTCTTTAATAAAATGCTTTAAAATAACTGTTTTGGAAAAATATTGAAGGTAGAATTACTACCCATTGGGAGGAAGTAGCAAACATTAAGATCCTTTCCTTCCCTATATAACAGAGTCTTGAAGTTTACTTCACTGACCTTTGGTACAAGACAAAACAACTTACTGGCTACTATAAAAGATTCTTAATGATTATTTAATATTTGATTTCTTTTTCAGCACTCATCAATCATCTTGAACATGGAGTTGTCTCTGAAACAGGTATTTTCTTAATTTTTGTGTAAAAATTAACCACAAAGCAACAGAATAATTGCACTGAAGTTTATTTTTAGAGAAAATTCATTGAAATAGAAAGCTAAATTATAAATAATAGAAAAAAAAACTTTAGATTATGTGTTTGTTTTATAACTGATTTAAGACTATTGCTTCAGTCTTGCCTTAGGATAAATGAAATCAAATTTCACTCATTGAATAACATATTCTCCCCTTCCTGTGGCTCTTGAAAATTGAACTCTCTTTCTGTCAAGGCCATAAAGTCATTCATGTAGAACACCAGCCCTAATCATTAAAAATGGTTTCTAATCAGGAAGTCTAAGAGGAAGACTGTGAACTCTGGTGGAAAATAACTCTACAGTTAACCTCCTGCCTATCATTTAATATCTGACTTCCACCATCAATTTCCTCAACAGCAAAGTTAGAAAAATAATAGCCACCTCCTAATAAATAGGATGTCAAATGCACACTTGAGAACTGAGAGCTGGTACATTTTAAGTGTGAAGTAAGTGGAAGCTAATAATAATAATACTATTTAATATGATTTCACAGTTCGCACATATGAGATGCCAAGTCCCAGTTAATTCAAGGATTAAAACTTGCATTCCTATTTTTAAATGTACCCCTAAAATTTAAAAAAGCCACATGATAATATGTTCTACATTAAAGTTTTTCTAAAATTGTCTTACATGGGTATGCCTAGTATGGTAGAGAGATTATTAAGAAAAGATCTAAATATGTTTCTTCTTCAATATTTTTCATTACTTTGCTCATCCACTCAATATTTAGTACTTAAAGGCCTTCTGCTGTCCTTGGAGTGTACAGAAATGCATGAATGGCAAAGCCCGTAGTCTTTGGAAGCTCATGGTAGAGCTGGGAGCCAAAGGATCTGCTGACAATGCAGAGAACAATGGAAGCATGTACCAGGGAGACAGGTGGTGGGGTGGGGTGGGAGGAGGAACTGGTCTAAAAAGAAACCAGGGGAGCAGGGAAAGATAGCTAAAATCAGAGACATATAACCTGAGCCAGCAAGGATATTGCAGTTAACCAGATAAATATAAAGGGAGATGGTTGGGGAAGCATATGCCAAGTAGAAGAGGAGAATCTTTGAAAAGATGTGAAGAGTGAGAGATCATAGTGTATTCTAAGAAGTTTCTGTACAATTAGAGCAAATTGTGTTCCAGGGACAAGGGACTATAAATGAGTCTGGGAAAATAAGACCAGAGCAAGATTAGGTACATTTTTGTATGTCCTCCTAAAAAGTTTAACAGTTTTATCTAAGGACAATAAAATCCTTAAGCAGGAGGGTGTGGTGATAAGATTTACCTTTTGGAAAGGTAAGAAGGAAGGAAGGAAGGAAGGAAGGAAGGAAGGAAGGAAGGAAGGAAGGAAGGAAGGAAGGAAGGAAGGAAGGAAGGAAGGAAGGAAGGGAGGGAAGAAGGAAGGAAGAAAGGAAAGAAGGAAAGAAAGGAGGGAGAGAAAGAAAGACCAGTCTGGTATGATAGTGCTTAAGATGGATTGATTGACCTTTGGGTTAGAGGTGGGGGTTATGGGAAAACAAGGCTGAAGCCAGTGGAAATATTAGGGCACTTACAAGTAATCCAGGAAAGAAATGATAAGAACTGAGACAGACAGTGGCGGTGAAGAGGGAGAAGAGGAAATGGATTAGAGAGTTCTGTATGAGAGAACGAAAAGATAAGGTGACAGGTCGAAGGAGAGAGAAAGATGATTAAAGACAACTCTCAGATTTGCATCTTGGGTGGCTGAAGATGGTGCCTCTTGCCAAAGTGTAGATTTAGGGAAATCAGTGTGTCTACATTTTGTTTTCAAGACACCTCTAGTCTTTGTGTAATAAGGATAAAGCAATGAGAACAGAAAACAGAGAAACCCAACAATTAAAGCAAAGCTAAGAATCATTAAAGGAAACAGAAGCCAGGCAGAAATAAAGACGAAGAATCGGGGGAAAAAAGTAGAGGGTTTCAAGTCTTTAATGTCAAACACTATGGAGAATTGAAGTAAAACAAATACTAAAAAATGTACATTGTATTTAGTCACCAGGAAGTCTCAATAGGTAAACAATTTCTGTAGGTTGAGTACATGTATGTTATTTGTGCTGATATCTATTTTGTCAGATTATTTTTCTTCACATAGAGTTTCACATGGTCCCCTGAGTTGGCTATGAGTTCTTGAAGGCCCAGACTATGGCTCATTCACTTGTTCCAACTCCCCCCAACCCCCACTTCCCCACCACCACTACACTCAAGTGAATACATATAGGACGCCATGCATTGTTTTCAGAACTTCTTCTCGACATGTAACTCTATTTGCTTGGTTTTTCAGTATCCTGTAGCCTATTATTTGTGATAAGATATCCCTCAAGCCTCCTTAATATTTTCTTCATAGTGATTCCAAATACTTTTTCTCCCACTTATAACCCATTTTCCTTCAGGGATCAGTATGTACTTCCTTAGCAAATGAAAAGGTTAGTTAAAACCACAGGAAAGTTTCCTAAGTCTCTTTTCAGACATCTTTTCCACAAGTAACTGTGTCAGGTGAAGACTATCAGCATTGCCTATAGTATGTGTGCTTGTTATACTCTACCAAAGGATATTTTCAACTAGTGAGAAGGAATTTGACATCTTAATTCCTCAGTCTAGCAGCTGGTTTTTAACCTCCTTCAATTACTGACAAGGTTACTCTAGCCCCATAGAATGCTGTCCATTTTAGTACCAAGGTCTTCAAATCACCATCCTGTCAGCAGTAGGAGTGATTGACTTATCTTACTCTTTGTTATGTGTCTGTACAAGTGTTTATTATGGGCAGGATACCCTAGGAGACAGATTTAGTTCTGTGATGTGGTATTTAAGAAAGGGAAGTTCTTAAGACTAGTTGGAAAGATGCTGCTAATTCATTTGTTTTGCCTACTTTTGCAGCAACAATTGTACATTGGTTCCCGAGATGGATTGGTTCAGCTCTCACTGCACAGATGTGACACTTATGGGAAAGCTTGTGCAGACTGTTGTCTCGCCAGAGACCCCTACTGTGCCTGGGATGGAACTTCATGTTCTCGATATACACCCACTTCAAAAAGGTAAGACGCACATAGAGTTCATATGATGCCTTCCTTTCTATGCAATGATATTTCACATGGATACCAGGTCTTATAGGTTAGATGAAAGAGAAAATATTATATAGAAAACATGGTCTACAGTAGGAATATTAAAATTCTTTATTTTATAGATTAGCATAACACTAGATTTTGACGTAGACAGAATGTGAAATTCTGAAATGTGGAATTTTAAAATTTTTTGATAACTTGTTTATATTATTTTTCTTCATTGATGTTAAACACAATTAAAATATTTTTTTCTCTCTCTATTCCTTTACTATTTCTACCTCCTCCCTCTTTCCCTTCTATTTCTAAATGTGTGTGTACTCATTGTTTTGCATATCTTGTGTAGACATATGTTTGAAAAAGTGAGGGTTGCATACAATCCTTAGAATATCCAAGATTTGGTACAATTTTACTTTTATAGTATTAACTCTAACTTGACCAATTTCTGCCACTCAGATATACTTCAACATCAAAATGCGCCCTCCCATTTGTAGTTCATTGCTTATGTATCTTAAAAACAATGCTATGTTGAGTCAGTAATTCCCAGCTAGGGGTTTATGCTACACACATATGTAAAAGTTATATGTTCAGAGATGTTAATTTCAGCATTGTTTTCAACAGCAAAATTAAAGGCAATACTCTGACTGCCCATCAGTATGACTGAAGCTGGCTAAATATATCATGATATATATTTTTTTAATGTGGAATATAGTAGTAGCACTATTTTCTAAAACATTGTCAAAGTACATTTTCCTCTAGGTAAAAAAAAAATCAGTGAATCGCATACGGTATATGGTATCTAAAAAAGAATGTAGGTTTTATTAACAAAATAAGATAACAGGAGAGCTATGTTAGTTCCACTACTGCCTATGCACTTTTTCTTTCCAAATTTTACTGATTTGTCAAAATGTAAATTTCAGGGATCACAGATTGAAGATATAGTATAATAGCAGATACTGACTAAAATTAGGAATAATTTTATAATTCTTGGAATCTCTGAATTAAGTGTGGGTGGGGATTATTACAACATTGAAAGTAAAAATTCACCAACATTTTATTATAGATTTTGTTCAAAAATATACTCAGCACAGTGAGTATTTGGGGAACTTTTCTTTTCTACAAGCTAAAACGTAAGAATTCTCATTAGCTGGTAATAAATCTTCAGTTTGATGAATTGACCCCATTGCTTAAGAAGTCAAGATTTAAAAACATTCTTGACCTATGTCCCTTACACTGTCATAAGTTTTCTTGTCCTTCCCCAGACTGCACTGTAACTGGCAGACATGCCGCTGTGATGTTCCCCCTTATCAGCACATCGTCCACGGGAGTCAGAAAGAGTGTACGATAGATCAGTGTTTTTCAACCTTTTTTGGGCAAAGGCACACTTGTTTCATGAAAAAAATCACGAGGCACACCACCATTAGAAAATGTTAAAAAATTTAACTCTGTGCCTATATTGACTATATATAAAGTAATTCTCTTGAATAGGAATCAAATAAACACAAAAAAAGTATTTTATAATTACTTTATTATGAAATATTAAGTAAACAAAATAGTGAAAAATTATAAAATTCTTGTCTTGTCTGCACCTACGGCACACCAGGCAACATCTCGCGGCACACTACAGCAGTTGAAAAACGCTGAGATAGATGACTCTTGCCCAGAGTTAATGTTGCCCTTAAGGAATACTCTAGATATTGCCAAAGGTTTGCTGTGACTTCTGTGATCGCTGAAGTGGCAATATAAAATAGCCAAAGCAAAGCTATATTGTAATTATGTAACACTTGTTTAACTTTATCAAGTTTTTTCTTTCTTCATACAATAGTCACTATTTTCTCTTAAAGAAAATGTAACAATAATGCAAGAAACCATTATTTATTATTACTATCATCATCATCTCTACTATCAGAAAACATGAAGTATATATCAGCAGATACAAATAACATCTTGCCATTCACACGATATCAAGCTTGTACTTCTATTTCAAGTGATAGTATTTAACTTGTTGCTTAATCAAATCTATGAATCTTCATATGATAAGGTGTTTTGTATGTAAGTGTACTTTCCTACCCACTGAAGTTCTTTGTGTCTTAATACTTTCCCATGGCTGACTTAAAAAGAAGGTAGGTATGATAGCAGCTGTGTGTCACTGAAGGATGCCCAGGACCAAACCAGAGACAGTTGGACCTACATCACCACTGTTTGTCCACCAACCAGATCTGAAATACCATGGCTGACATGTACACATAAGGAATTGTTTGACATTGAAATTAGCCCAGAAAGGAACTCACTACAGACTGATTCATTTGCCTCTCAGTATAACCATTAAGGCCTGTCTCAGTTCCAGTTCTTACAAGGGTATTTCTTATTTCTTGGATCACATGATCACACACATCTAAGGGAAATAATTAACAACATAAACTGATGAAAAAAAATAGACCCAAAGAAAGAGAAGCAGCAATCAGACTGTCAAACCTCAAGGGAAGGTAGGGGAGGGTGGGAGTAAGGGGAAGAGATCAACCAAAACACTTGTGTGCATGTATATAAGCCTAACCAGTGGCCATGGACAACAGGGGGATGGGAGCATATGTGGGGAGGGGTTTGGGATGGGAATGGGGGGATGAGGACAATTATGTGATACCATAATCAATTAAAAAATAAATAAATAAGAAAAAAGACTTAGTAAATAACAAGCAATGCAATAAAAATGGGCAATAAGTACATGAAAATATATTCAGTAACACTAGTCATTAAAGTCACAACAAAATATCACTATACTCATTACAATAATAAATTTTTAAAAGACTGAAAAAAAAGAGGGTAGGTATGATTACTCTCATTTGATGTATATAAAACCTGGATTATATTTATAGTCAACCTATTTTGTTGTCAAATGTTAAAGAAAAAGAAAACTGTAGTATTGATAGTTTAGTAAAATTCAGGTAGTCTCATTGCTCAAATAGGATTCATGCCATTAAGACTCTACTATTACTACCACTACTACTACTACTACTACTACTACTACTACTATTACTTCTACTACTACTACTTGATGTAATGTTAGAGTGATTGGAATATTGACCGACATTTAAGCTGGGCAGTAAGATAAGCATAGTTCTGCTTCTGCCACTGTTATTAGTGTTAGCTATGAATTTTCTATATTTTAATTATCTTGTTTGAAGTTCTAAACAGTTAAATCCCTTCTCCATAGGCGAGCTAGACGCCAAGATGTCAAGTATGGAGACCCAATCACCCAGTGCTGGGACATAGAAGAGAGTAAGTATAAGTTTAATATGCTCTTCTCTCATTTAAAACTTTAAGCCTTTTCTTTGTGTGTCTTTTCATTATATAACTTAAAACATCTATTATATAGGAAGATCTCATTTTGTGAAATGCTTGTATTCTGGGAAATCAGTGGGAGATTTTTATAAATCAACACTCTGTCCATGTGCCTAAGTGAATAATCCTTTGTTATATCATTGTTTCATATGTCCTTTTAACATTTCTATACTTTTTTTTTCTTTTTTGCTGCCTTATCTATCCTTGTAAAGTTTGAGAACTACTATTGAAGATAAAACAGGATATAGTCCAAAACATATGGACATTTAGAGAAAACTCAGAGACCCTGCCAGAAAAGTCTGATAGCAGGGGAGGCTAGGCACTTATTAGAAAGGAGTGTTAGGTAGCTTATGCATTATTTTTTATTCACTTATTACTTCAGGTCTTCAATCAGTAAATACTTATTAGCGACTTGCACGTGCAAATAATTATCTCAGTTGTAGATTGTGATACAAAGACACTCCTTAGAGAGCTTATAATTCTTCTGGGAGATGTCATAAAGCACAATTAATGATAAGGGAATTTAGCAAAAAGAGAGATCACCAGAGGCTGCATGGTTCAGAGGAAATGTCATAGAAAGTTGAATATCTGAATATGATAAGTACAGAGTGGAGAATAGAGAGATGATTTGTTGAATAAGTGTGCAGAGAAAAGTCTATAAAATGATATGTTCTAGAGCTTTACTTACTTTCCACTGTCAAGCTCTGCCATCAGATAGAAAGTATACGTGCACGTACTCATGCACTCGCATACGCACATACATATGCACAGCTAGAGGAAGAAAAGAACTGCCTACCCTTCATTGCATTGTCAGTAACCACCTTATAACTGAATAAACAACACAAATTTTGTAGTCTATTACTTATGATCCAGCAGTGTTTCTATAATTTAAAAATAAAACAATTATTTATAATTCAGAATTTCATTCTCCTGATAAATAAGCTAGGGTCTGGAATTGTATTATGAGTTCTCATTCTGATATGTATGTGACTCACAGTCATGTCCAGTGTTTTCTTTGAAAATCATCACTGGGTGCTAGGTGTACAGTTTTCCGTGTGTGCATATGAGGTTTATCAGGAAATATTAGAGACATTGAAGAAGATATCAGCGACCAAAATGAAAACAGGCTGCACACAATGTAATGTGCAGATGATGTATCATAGAATTGTACACTTGAAACCTATATACCAATAAATTCAATTATAAAAGCACAAAAAGAAAATCTGTGCATTCATGGATCTTATATTCAAATTTGTATTCGGGGAGGTAATAGGCAATAAACATAAAAACAAATAATATGTGTGTTCTGTCAGATGATGATAAATATTATGAAGAGTTATAAAACACAATTGCTGCCTAAGGCACTTACAATCATTGTCTCCACTTCACCATATCCCATTCTTGCTATAACCCACTGCACATAGGCTTTTATCATCATCATCATCATCATCATCACCATCGTCACTTGACCCAATCCATTTGTTTTCAAGGTCACCAGCAATTTCTACTTTGCCAGATCCAATGATTAATTTTTAGTTTTCATTTTTACTTAATCTCTAACTCCTTTCTTAAAACACCTTCATTATTTGACTTCCATGCAGTGCTATTCTGGTTCATATGGCCCCATGAGAATGGATTGTTGATTATTTAGACAATTTGTGCGCTGCTTTTAAACCTTTGGTAATTTGTATCAACCTGCAACCCTGGTATGTGTCCTGACTGGGAATCAAATCAGCAATGTTATGGTGCACAGGGCGACACCCAGCCAACTGAGCCACACTGGTCAGGGCACCTTTTGTGTGTTCTTAGCTTTCTTTTTCAACCCACTCCCTGAATATTCAATCTCTGTCTATTCACTCCCTAGTACCATCAACGTCAATACTACCATACTCACAAATTCACAATTAAGTTCTGAACTTCCTTTGTATGCCAGTCTTGTAAGCTGATATGTCTACTCAAGAACCCCTCTTAGATGCCTAAAATCATCTGAAATTATATCTGTGAGATAATTCTTATCTTTTCCAAAACTTACCTGTTCGGCAGAATTTCTCATATTAATAAATAGCACCACTGTTCCAACTGCTTGGGTTAAAAGCAGCCAGTTATTTTTCTTGTATTATTATTGTATTTCCAGTCAAATTAACAACTCTGTGTCCAAGGATCACTGTTTTTACTGATTTGAAAAAGGATTTCATACAGTCTGCTCACTATTCCACTTTATTAGCTGATTTTTCTAATTTGTCTTATTAAAAGACAATTCTTTGGTTGAATATATCTAATTGAGTTCCTCTTGAGTCCTTGCCCATAACCTAATAATCAACCTGCATCCTGCCTGCTTTGTTTCTGAACTCCCTTTGCTCAGGAAAACAGTGTCTGTTACTGTGAAATGATGCATGTCTTGCTCTTCCAGATCGGCACTGGTGATCTTTCTGTGCACTAGGAATTTATCATCTGTGAAAATTGTAGTTATAATATGTTCAATTGGCAGAGATAGTGGATGGATTACAGATTCCACATGGAATCCACACATTTTGAAGGTTAGATTATAGACAGACAGTTAATAATGGGGCCAGCAGGCTTCACTTAACCATGGCTGGTGAAACACGAATAAGTTCAAAAGAAGATTCTTGAAACGAAGCCTGACCAATGGGTGTATGTACATTCATGGTATTTGCCGATAATTTTGTGCATAGATTTAGGATTCACTTAGTTTCCTCAAGGCTTACTCTGGTTTATGCCTAAAATGCTAAGTAGGCCCATCTGTAGAATTGAGACATCTGAACAGACGATGAAAAAGTGCATGTTTGGACCAGGCTGAGCAGCCGTCATTTTTTATTTGATCAAACTTGAGCTACAGATCTTAGATCACACATGGGACACAGCCATTGGCTACTCAGGATGGAACGTATTTCAGATGGCTGATTTATGGAATAAGGTGTCTGACACACTGCTCTTTTAGCATCCCATTAACTATCTTATAGTAAATGCATGCTGGGCTAAAGTTTCCTTCTTTGAATAAAATAACATACAGGCTGGGGCAAAGTAGGTATACAGTTGTTTGTATGGAAGGCAATACAGTATTTAATACACAATAATACAAGCATAAACTCTGTCTCGAGTACTCACAACTGGAAACCTACCTTTACCCCAGCCTGTATTTTGGTAAGTAATATAGATAAGGTCCCGGTTCTGAGTATGGGAGAATCTAGCTTATTATCATTATAGAATTGCATCAAATATAGACCACTGTACTTACTTTTCTGATATCAAAATACCTTAATGTTATATGGTCAACTTTGTGGATCAATTTATGATAGAAATTCTCTTTAAAGGTAAATTGCTCTTCCAGAACTGTCTTCAAAATTGGTTATATTTTATACAAATTCAAAGGTGTTAAAGCATTAAAAGATGTTAATAGTTTATTCATTTCAGCTCAGAGAAAGAGAGTCAATGTTTAGTGTTAGACCTGGTGAATTCTTATTTTAAAATGTCAATTGCACAGTTAATAAATTGATGAAAGAGTGAAAATTTCAAGGAAGAGATAGAGTTTTAAAAATCAATCTGTTAGATAATATTTGACTTTTAGGTAATAATATTATAACATGAATTTCCGTTCTCTTTAATAATGTGCATGAATCTTTCCCCCATGGCATCTGTTCTAAATTAGTCTATTTTCCCATTGCTTTTAGAATCAGGTCAAGGTTAATCTCCTATTCCATGTTTGCTTTCCAGGCATTACTCATGAAGCTGCTGATGAAAAGGTGATTTTTGGCATTGAATTTAATTCAACTTTTCTGGAATGTATACCTAAATCCCAACAAGCATCTATTAAGTGGTATATCCAGCGGGCAGGAGAGGAACACCGAGAGGAGGTAAGTCATTGCCATCAAAAAAGCTCACCTTGAGAAAAATAGTATAAAACTTAAATCAGGTTTTGTTTGTGAGAAATGTTCAATTGCTAGTGCCATATGGTGCTCTTGTCACTATTAGATAAAAAGGAAAATAACAGCTTATATCCATTAACACCAAAGGCTGCAACACCTTTGAGATAAGAATAGCCCAATTTAATTTTAAAAATTAATAAAATGTATTTAACAGAAGGTTGAATGTTTAAAAAGAAATTTGTGTGCTTAAAAATTTTTATTTCTCATAGAATGTCTGTATTTTAGAACAATTCCCTAAGAACAAGAATACAATATTTCCCCTCACTATAGCCCAAGAACTAAATTTTAGCTCAAATTGTGTTTAGTTTAGATCATAAAACAATACATACCAAGTATGTATAAAAAAGAAATGAAATATATATATATCTTCTTATGAATAGTTGGATAAGTATCTGGACATATGTATTGTAGTTTTTCACTCTTGTATATTAAAATTAAATCAATGGAGGGAAAAGCAATATGGAAGTTCTGTTCATCTTTTGACTTTTTCTGGTCCAGTCATTCTAACACATGTGTGTGATTGAAACATATCACGAGATTTTTATGAGGTCGAAAGATGTCAATTTAAGGGGATGAGTTGGGGTCTGAGAAATCCTGTATTAATATTTTTTGAATGTCATGAAACAAAGGTTAATTGGCAGAATTCTTTCAGTTCCTAAAAGAAAACCAATGACACTCACTGTACAGTTCTAAAATTCTCAATATTAAAACTAAGGCACTTTAATGAATAATGGAATGAGCACAGGATTCAGAATTCCTTTGTTCATATCACTGAGCCCCCATGGGCCAGAATTTTATAACAAAATAAATCCAAAAGTTATTGTGAAAATAAAAATGAGAAAATACATACAAGAATGTGAATTTCAAAGCAGAGGATTACTCAAGTGTAAAGTACGTACATAAAATTGCAGATACTCTCAGGGAGGATGTGTAAAACAGGAAATAGCGCTGGTCATGTGTTCAGCTTGACTGCTGAGTATTTATGAGCAGGTTGTAACTTCTCGAACATTCCATTTCTCGGTCCTATATGGAGGTGACCAAATGTTCTCTGAAATAGCAGCCTCCTGGATAAGACTACAGACATTTAAAATAGTATATATAACCAACTAAGTATGGGTATGGAACAGTGGTTGTCAGCTGCAGGGGACTTTGCTCTCAGAGTGCTCACATTTGGCAACATTTTGGTTGTGACAACCTGGGTGGGAAAGGTGGAGGGTGCTAGTGGATAGAGATCAGAGGTCGGGGACTGTGCTGAGTAGCCCACAAGGCACAATCTCTCACAATGAAGAATTAGCTGGCCCAGGTTTCAGTGCTAAGTTAAGAAACCTTGGGATAGGAGAATCAAATTGTATCATAAGAGATTTGTTCAAAGATATGTACCCCCTTTATACAGGGTGGAGCAAAAGTATGTTTGCAGTTGTTTGTATGGAAAATAATACAATAATTAATAAAATAATAATAAACTCTGTTTAGTGTACTCACAATGGTAAACCTATTTTTGCCCCACCCTGTATTAAAAAGTTAGTGTCATTCTCTTCATTGATCTTTAAGAATACAGTGCTATATCAAAATAATGACACACCATGTTAATACCAAAGGAATAACTTTGCCTCATTATGTCAAATTGACCCAGTAAAACTTGACTCTCTTTTTTTCTTTATTAATGAAGGTATTAATATGTAAACTTGATTCTTCATTATTACTGACATTCATAAATTCTAAAATGATGGCCTATCCATACTAAATATTTATTTTAAGGATCCTAATTTACCAGTATATATTGAAATATTATCTGGCATGGAAGTTTATTTTATTTCAACATATAAAACACTTACTGTTTATTCAAGAAATAGAAATACTGGAAGTCCTGGCTGGTTTGGGTCAGTGGATAGAGCGTAAGTCTGCAGACTGAAGGGTCCCTGGTTTGATTCCAGTCAAGGGCACTTACCTCCGTTGCAAGCTCGATTGGGACCCATGCAGGAGGCAACCAATTGATGTGTCCCTCTCACATTGGTGTTTCTCTCTCTCTGTCTCTCCCCCTCCCTTCCACTCTCTCTAAAAATCAATGGGAAAATATTCTCATGTGAGGATTAACAATATATACTACCATATATGAAAAAATGTTATCTGAATGTTTTAACAATCTGAGTTTCTATTAGATACATTGCAATATTTTATTTTTAAATGTCCCAAATCAGTATTTCCAATTTTATAGTTAATAAAGTTTGATCATTTCTTTTCCGTTATACACTTAACATTTGACTATGCATGTTTACATTCACATCTTTCATCCTCCTGAAAATGTTATGCATTACTTTAGTTTACTTTTTAACAGTATATCATACAGTCATGGTGGTACCATGCTCCATGAATTTCAATGGGGCAGAAATAGGCTATTTATTGAATTTTACTTAAAAGTATCTGAGCTGTAATATTTCAAATGGTATATTCATTTATCTTTGTAAATAGCTAGTCACACTTGGTCCAGGTTCTGCAATTCCGCTTCCTGAGTGAGGAAAGAGGCCAGATCCACACTAGGTTTGAAACGTTTTCCCCAGCAGGATACCTTCTGCTCCTTCCCAGGGAGGTCACAGTTTGGAATCTTTCCTCCCCTCAACATAAGCCTGAGGGAGGGACCGGGATCTCCTGTGGCACGGAGGCTGTCACCAGGTTTTTCTCTGCCAACGGGAGGACATTTCCTCACTGAGCTGTTTCACAGTTGGGTGCTGCTGGGAAGGTCATGAGTCAGTTATCTGCTGACTTTCCTGTAAAGCTGTGCTGGAAACGGATGATGTTTACGCTATAATGAGCACGTGAAGCGGCAGTCCCCAAGCTTCTGTTGAACTTTGGGGTTCTTGAGGAATAGAAAAGGCAATACCTCATGCCATTTGCAGTAGTCTTTTTTTCTGTGGATTTTAAAAACATTTTATGAAGCGTCTTCAAATGTTTTCATTTTTCCCTTTGTAGGTCTTTGTTTTATTTTGTTCTTTGAATTGTAAAGGTTATGTCAAAGGTTTTGAAAATATAGTAACATATAAAGAACTATGAGGCCTCTAAGCATAGATAAGCAAATACTGTATGTTGATGTCTATTCCAGTATTTCTCCCTCGACTAAACCATTACATTGTGAGCAGTTTCCCTTGTCATTCAACTTTAATACCACATTTTTTTCTGTCCATACACCCACTGTCCTGATGTCACAGTCATCATGAATGTTCCATGTTTTATTTAAATAGCTCATGGTTTATCTAAAAAAAAGTAAGCAACTTTCCTATATCTAAATCTTTCTCTACTTTTTTGTTTTGTTTTGTTTTCTTCAGACAAACCCTTAAAGAGAAAAATAAGTAAGATAAAAAAGTAATATTAATTGTCTTTATGACTTGGGATAAAGCACTGTATATTGCCAATTTCCCATTGAAACCACCATACCGGTAGCTTTTCTGACCTCCTGAGGCAACACTTTATATTATAGTTTAAGAAAATCATTTTGATATGGAAAAATATTATATTGTGTTAATGTCTCTTTCTTTGAATATTACTGGATGTTAATTACCTTCTCATATTTCTTGGCTATTGGCTTCAGTTGTAGCTGGTAAATTGCCCTAACATTTGCTTGGTTTACATCAATATATTTATTTAAAAATTATTTTATTCAGCCATTTATATATGTTAGATATTAACATTTTAATATGCATATTAGAAATAACTTTTTACTATGTATTGCTGAAAGTTTTTGTGTTTCTAACATACAAAAGATGTATAATTTATATTTATCACGTATATAAATCAATTGGTTTATATCTATATGTTCCTCACTTATGCTTAAAAAGCCCTTGTTTGGTGAAACTGAAAATACATATTTTGTAATTATTTTAGGATTTCATTTTTAAAATTACAACTCACATTTTATAGTTACATTTACTCAAATATATGAAATAAGTCTAGGAGTTAGGAATGTATACATTCAATTTTTTTTCTTTTAAATTATGAGCCAGTTGCCTCAGCACTATTTTAAGCTGTCTTTCTTCTGTTTGTTGAAGAAAGGAGATATTCCTGCAACCCCAGTCACATGTAGGACATGTGCGATGCTTTATCTTTGAAGGGAATGACAGGTGAATTATCTGCCAAGGAATTGCCATTAGGCTGCTATTATCAGAGAACAAAGTCCCTGACCTTTACCTGCTGCTTAGTACCTAAATATCCTTTGTCTCTTCCTATGTGACTCTTCTCATTTTAAATGAACTGCCCTTCATTGAAGATCTCCATTTAATAATGCCAAATATATTATCATTGTTCACATTAGGCAAATGGACAGTCAACCCCAGTTCAAGCATGGTTTTGATTTGTAAGGCTGAGCAGTTTTTACTTATCACTTTAGAATGGAGAAAATTCCACGAGTTTAAATTAGTGGCCGGAGATTACATTATCTCTTTGTAGAGGAGCTGAATCTTCTAAATTGACTGTGCTGACAGTTCACAGTCTGCATACAGCATCCTGTTCCAGCATGGAATGAAAGCATTATAGTGACTGAGAATGCAAAGTAGGCAAATGTTAAACAACCACTTAATTTCTGGGTCACAGATTTCTCTCTCTGGATTGCAAGTCCTATGAAAATATGGCATTTAAAATATATTTTGTTTATGAACAAAATATATTTTGAATGAAGAGATATCACTTCATATTTTGAAATTTTAGGGGGAAAAAATCACACAATCTAATAGACATTAGATAAATCCAGGAAGCCTAAAATTTATTTTTAATATATTTTTATTGATTTCAGAGAGGAAGGGAGAAGAGACACAAAAACATCAATGATGAGAGAGAATCATTGATTGGCTGCCTCTTACACACCACTGGGGATGGAGCCCACAACCCAAGCCTATGCCCTTGACTGGAATCAAACCTGGGACCCTTCAGTCTGTAGACTGGTGCTCTATCCACTGAGCCAAACCAGCTAGGGCTTATTAAGTAAGTTTATATCTGTAGGTAAAAAATCAAAGTAAAACTAAGCATTTCAAGGAAGCAAGAAAAGGTGAAAAAGGATCACAATGGAGTAATGAAATGCCAGGCATCTAAGAAACTCTGAGTCCTGTAGGGGCAGAAGCAGTAAGGAAGGAGGGAAGGGAGCTAGACTTCAGAGCACAGCAATGTAAACAGGATGCAGAGAACAGCAAAACAATGACAAAGTGTTGCATACTTTGTGTGAAATCAAAGTGGTAATTTCTTCCTGTCAGGATATTAAAGAGAACAATAAAAAGTAGTGAGTTGCAGCTGTGACAATCTTTAAAACCACATTAAACAGTTTAAATGTTAGCAAGAATACCAGCTATGAAAAGAAATCTAGAGTTGATCTGGAAAGTTATCTGCTTTGATTGTCATACTAATAACCACAGGCCATTTTTAAAAGAATTACAGAAATAAAGGTTTCAGAACGTCACTTCTCCAACAACATGTAATGTTGCTATTAATACTTCACACTTTAACCTTCAAAGAACTTTACTTATCCCCCCCCCCAAAAAAAAAAATAACACACCACCATATGCTATGTCACCAACATGATAAATGGGAGACCACGCAAGGAAGATAAATGAGTTATCATCAGAAGCCTAGCAGTTAGGAACCAGAACCTAGGCTTATGGAGTCCATATTTGTATTCTAAGGTGTATTTAAATTTTTAAAAAAGCATTTATTCAGTAAAAGTATTTAAGATAAAAAAAAAAAAATCTACTGTACCCAGTATGTTAAATTTGAGATTGATGTTTCTATTTCAACCTGGCCTTTTAGAACCCTTCCAATTTAATTTATTTTAGGGCACAAGACCCCTATGGTTACTGAGGATGTAAGTGAATTCAAGATTAGTGTGTGTTACAATAGCATGAAAAAATGTCCGGTCCTTCAGAATACATTCCTTAGAAAAAGCACTACACACCCAGCTCACCAAATGGGCAGAGTAAAGGGAACAAACACACAAAACCCTGATGGGGTGGCTTCCATGTAGAGCGAAGGCAGGGCTGGAGACCATTCAGCCTCATTAGCCAGGGGTCTGCTCTGTGACCTGCCTGTGGCCTCGTGTGGTACCCCACCAGCTGCACTTCCCTGGCACAGGAGGTGGTTGGCCATAGACTTGTTCGCTGGCTGGGCTGGCAGCCAGAGATGTTTCTTTTCCTTTTCTCATATTTCCAGAATGGAAGGATTTTTCCTCCATATTTTTCCCATAAAGATGCAGAGCGTGGTCCACCCACTGTGAATAAATTTAATTTAGCCGTCTTTCTGCCTCCTTGATTTCCATCATCGGAAAGTCTCCAATGCGGGGGCAGATGTGTAACCTGGACGCCTTCCAGACTCCTTTGTTGTTGTGATTCTGCTGAACGCCGGGCCACTTCACAACCTCCACGTTACACAGGGCTCTTGTGTCCTAAACATGCCTTTAGTTTCAGTGAAGATAGGTTCGCTATTCACACCAGATTGTGGGCCAGGCCGGCCTCACTGCTTGAATGGCCTTTCAGTGGTATCGCTTCAAAGGGTAAAGAGCATCGCGTTTCAGGGGGCTTCTTTTTGTTCCCTGCGCGTTCTCACACTCGAAATCACATTACCATGTTATAGTAGATGGAAGTATGGCACATATTTCCACAAATGACATCGTCTAGGTGTCATATATACGCACAGGATCAAAATTCAACCTGGAGTAAAGAGGGAAATTCAGCTTTAAATGTTGCTATCCTTCTGAATATGGTTCTGCTTAATGGTGAGCTCTAACATTCAAAAGGCTGTGTCCATGCCTTCCCACTGACTTTTAACAAGTCACCACGTGCAGTTTCCATATGCTATTCGGATCATTTATTTGGTGATATCTGGAAAACAGAGTACATTCCCTTTGAAATCATTGTTCTAGTCTACATTAAAGGTGGTAGCATGCACTAAAGCTACTAATGTGTTTCTGTACACGACTGACTATATCACATTCTAGCTATGCAATTCTTAGAACACCACTTGGCATCTGAAATCTCTGGGTAGGTGGTCAGCTGATAGATAGTTTCCAGTTTTACTTTATTCCTTTTTTTTTTTTTTTTTTTTTTTTTTTTTTTACAGCTTTTCGCTCCTATCCGTAGACTGGGAGAAAAACTCACCATATCCCAAAGGTTCAGTTAGGCATCATTAGATGCAAACATGCATTTTGCGGGGCTATTACCTCAGTTGAACTTTTTTTTCCCCCCCACTCTCTTTGGCTATGGCTGAGGATATCATGCTTGATGACAGAGAGACAGGGAGTCTATCTTAGGTTCGTCTAAGTAGAACTATGTAGCCTGTTTTCATGTGCTCCTAGCCTCTCTGGTTTTCATTTATTACCTACATTTTCCCTCCCCCGATCCTGCAGCTGAAACCCGATGAAAGGATCATCAAAACAGACTACGGGCTACTGATCCGGAGCCTGCAGAAGAAGGACTCTGGGATGTACTCCTGCAAAGCGCAGGAGCACACGTTCATCCACACCGTGGTGAAGCTGACCCTGAACGTCATTGAGCACGAGCAGATGGAGAACACGCAGAGGGCGGAGCACGAGGAGGGGCAGGTCAAGGACTTGCTGGCCGAGTCGCGGCTGAGATACAAAGACTATATCCAGATCCTCAGCAGCCCCAACTTCAGCCTGGACCAGTACTGCGAGCAGATGTGGCACCGGGAGAAGCGGCGGCAGCGCAACAAGGGCGCCCCCAAGTGGAAGCACATGCAGGAGATGAAGAAGAAGCGGAACCGGAGGCATCACCACCACGGAGAGGGGCTGCCCAGGGCGGTGGCCACGTAGCTTCCCGCTTAATTTAAAGAAAAGAGTCCTTTCCCTGCCAAAAATACTGTCTCCTGCGTGTACATCCTTGATAAGAACTCCTAAGAGTCTTCCATGGTGTCTTGTTAAGGCACACACAAAAAAACAATCTAAGTAAGATTGTGTGGTGACTGTAGCAAAGAAGAGCAAGATAAGTCATCTGACCCAGTTTTCCAAGAACTAAACTTGTACCTGCAGTGTACCCGAGTTATCTGCAAACATAGGGACTTCGCGTTTGTAAATGGTTTGTGTTCTGAGTTGTTCCATGTATGATGTTCTATGTACATAAGCGAGCTGAGCGCACACACATCACGTGGGATCCTGTACTAAGGCGCCTCATTTCCCTTGCGTGGCCCTGTAGCCTAGGGCTGGCCATGCTGTTGTGCTTTATGTTCTTAGGAACAGACACATCATTCCACTCTAGGACGAGCTACTTTCCGGGAAGAAGTGGAGGGAAGAAGACACACGTTCAGGCCACTCACGTAGCAGCAGGAACTTCCCCAATGAGCCACTCACTCTTGGTGCCTGGTTTAGGGATTGGGAGAGATGCATTGGTTTTATCAGACCACGGGGATTACTTAGTGCACTGCAGCCCTGAGTTACTGAAGGCTGTAAGTGTTCCTCCAGGATTCCTTAGGGCTGACCAGGAGAAGCAGGCTCACAGCGAGACCTTGGTGCTCGGTTATGTGATTTTAGATGAAACGCTGAGCTTTACAGGGGCAGAATGCTTAGTGCATATTTAAGTAAGATATGGGAAAACATTTAAATAAAATAAGGGAAACATCATGACGTACCCTGCATCCTAATGGGGAGGCATACAGATGGGATTTGTTAGGAGACAGAAGGAAAGACAGCCATAAATTCTGACTTTGGGGGAAACTCATAGCCCCATAAAAAGGAAGAACAGTCACAAATAAAGTGGGTGAAATGCAATGTAGTTTTATTCACCAGAGTATAAGTAGCTGCCAATTTATAATACATCTGCTAAAAAATTCTAGATTTTATATATATATATATTTTTAAAAAGCCTGCTAGCAAAAGGCCGAGGAAAAGTAAATTTTCTAAAGGATCATGGAAAGAATGAGCACAAATTTATTTACAACCAAGGGGATTTCAGTACTTTTTCTAAAAATTCATCATAACCTATAAATTATTTTCATTTACTGCCTTTAGTCTCTTGAATATTGGATTGTGGGGCTTTATTTGAGTGAACAGAAAAGAACGATATATACATACCTAGAAAAAATAATTAGGTAGACAAGAGTGGTGGGGAGCGGGGAGATATATTGTTAACTAACAGAACAAATGCAAACATTTTGACAACAGAAAGGGTTAAGTTAACTCTTTGACATCTTTTTCCCTCCACACATCTTTTTGCATTTCTGAATTATATGCTGTAATTCAAGTAGCATTGTTTTAGTAATTTAATAATAAGTAAGCCTGCTGCATGTAAAGAACACAAACGTGCAACCTAAACATTCTTCGTGTTTTTTTAGGACTTCCAAATATCGCCAGTTTGACTTTACCTCTGAGCCTGCAGGGTGTTTTCTGCCCATTTTCTGCAGCACTCACCTTTCTTCCTTCAACACAAAACCCTTAGCCTTCCTCTGTTTTGCCTTTTCACGCCCTTTTTAGTGTGAAATGAAAAATTAGTCACTTCCTCAAACGGAAGGCAGCCTTTCAGAAAACTTAATAGCAGACATTGCCAGTTTCTCATGCATTCTGTGGGTCTTGAAAGGAAAGCCTGTGGGAACCCATGTGATTAGCGGGCAACTTATTGCCATGTTCAGTATCATGTCTGTGACTGGCTTTATGTTCAAAGCATTCTATCTTACATTCATTTAATTTGCATCACTTACCTTTCAGAGTAGTCACTCTGATGTATGAGGTTCAGTACCCCTTTGGATATGAAACTCAAATATTTATAGATGTGTCTGTATAAGGAAAACTTAAGGATTTAAAACTTAGGTTTTAAAAACAGTAAACCAGAACAAATCACTCTTAAAAATTAATGCATAAGAAGAGTTGAAGTAGGATCAGAGGGCTAATTAAATACCATAACAAGAGTGTTGGTAACTATTGCTTTGCTAGGCTAAAATGTCTCAGAAATTCATATTGAGTTCCAAGCAAATAAGTCAGAGTATGTTTTATTTTTTAAAAGATTTTCACATATCTATATGTCAGACAGTAATAATCAGATTATGGATGGCTTTGAGAAAAATTACATGACACTCAAGTGTTAGGATTGACTTGCAAAAATAAATTTGGTTTTCATCCAAATGTGAATGTCTAAGCCATTTTTTAATTATTTCTTTCTTATCATAGATATTCAGACAAAATTTTCAAAACCTATTTTAATTTACAGCTAATATTCTGGGTACTATGGATCTAAAATTATTAATTTATAATAAAATCTTAAAATACATTTGAAATATTATTAGTAAAATAAAATGTCATAATAAAAACATATGGACAAAGATTTATGTGTATTTTTATAAATAGAGAACATCTACATTTCATTTAATTTTTTAACCTTTTAATTGCCTAGAACATTTGAGGAACAGTGTTAATATATTAAATGTAAGCCAAGACATGTTATAAATACTTCCTCACCACTGAAGATTGGACCAAATTCTCTTTGAAATAATGAAAAATAAAATTACAGTTAATATTTTAAAATACATTTCCTTAGAAATCAGCTGTTCATGAGAGGTCTTCAATCATCTGTTTTTTCTTAGATTCATATTTTTCTCCCCTGTTTTGAATACATATGTCTTTGATTTGCCTTTTCTCACCTGCATCTCATTCTGGCTATGCTGCTTCATGGAATCCTGCCTGTCTAAACTCATTTACATTCAGTTTATTAAGAATTTAAAGAGTTTTTTGTTTTTGTTTTATTTTTACAAAAAAATGGATTCTTGAGTCATTTATATAGAACCCTCCTTCCCCAAAGAGCTTTAAATATTACATTCACATTGTTAAATAAACATTTTTTAAAACAAACTAAATTAAGAGAAGAAAAAATAGTCACAGAGAAATTTAGAAATATGCAAAAGCCACACAGTAGTAGAACTATCACTGACACAAAATATCGTCAATCTATTTACTAAATAATGCTTATTTACAATATGCTGCCTGCAAAATCATCTTACTCTTGGATTTTGCCTTTGGTCTATATTTAGGTTTTTCATGTGCTATTGTTTTGTTCCTGCTGGATTATACAGTCTAAACTGAAAACATTAGTTTACAGTGGGCAGTGTCTCCTTTTCAACATTATCAAAATTAAATTCTAAGGACATTTTAATATCTAGATGTCCACTAAATATAAAACTGAACAAAAACATTAATTTAATACTGATACTTTAAACATATACGTGTATATATATGTACATTTCACAGATATCATTAATACAAATGGAATTAAATACTGAAATAGCTTTTATTGAGAATGTCACATTTCTCTTAGTATGTTGGGATTGATTCACCTTATTGGGAATGGATAGTTTAGAAAAAAGGGAGATATTTAAAATGTTTTTTATAGAAAGATATATTTTTTCCAACAGATAACCACAATACCAGTAGTAAAATAAATTAGCTTATATGTGAGGTTAAAAAATATCTAAAATTCCAAACTGCTACACATTGACAGTAAACAGGCAGGAGCATGTGCATGACTTATACCTCTCATTTAAATATTTTGTAGTATAAAGTATTTATGGTAAGTTTTAAATAGATGCATTTTTTGGGAAAAGGGCAAGAATCTATCATTTTATTATATTGTATAATTTAATTCTGGTATTGTAAGTGCTTAGCAATCAATTTTGAATTTATAGTTTTGCTATTTTGAGAGAACTGTAGTCTTGTAATCTAACCTAATTAAATTTGTTAAATGTATATTTTGGTTGTATTATAATAAAACACAAATATTAGTATTCTATGGTGATAAACAGAATGTTGATTTGTGTGCAAATTTTGTTTTCACACCCCTGAAAATAATCCAAATGTTATCCATAAAATTGCACTAAATAAAATACCAAAGAAATATCTCCTGACAATTATTAGTAGATATAGTCTACACTGTAAGTGTAAAAATAATTTCCCTTATGAAAAACATAAAATAATAAGTGGCTTTACCCAATTAATGCAATCTTGTAATTAAGCTTTACTGTACTGTGATTTAAATTTAGACTTTGGCAGGCTGAGATGAACATTATTACCACAAGTAACTACTTTAAAAAATATATTTTCATTGATTTCAAAGAGGAAGGAAGAGAAAGATAGAAATATCAATGATGAAGGAGAGTCATTGATCAGCTGCCTCCTGAGCCACACCCCACTGGGGGTGGAACATGAGACTCAGGCACATGCCCTGATAGGGAATCAAACCATGACCTCCTGGTTCATAGGACAACTCTCAACCCCTGAACCACACCACCTGGGCTCAACATAATTCTTTGTACTTGATTATTTCAAAATAAAAAAGTATATTAAGGATATAAATCTCAAAAATAAAAATAAAAAACAAATTACTAGGTAGTGAAAGAGAAAGGGAAAGAAAGGAAACAGCTGAGTTGGCCTTTCTCCGACTGAACATTGTTCCAGGTTGCTATTTAAAATATAGACTTCTTTCTGGCTCACCTATCAAATTTATAAACCAATACATGCTCTTTAGGAAATCTGAAGAGAGAAGAGAATTATATGTATATCTAGTAAGATGCCTTTAAATGATCCCACAAATTACTATTTTCTATAGGATAGGTTTTCTATCGATATCTTTTAAATTCACTCTTTTAATTTACTATCGATGTTTCGCTTATGTGAGCCAAAATTTAGGCCTCAAATTTTACTTTTTTGCAAATTCTCAGTTTTATTGTGCCCTATTAGTGAAAGGCTAGTCTACTTAAATATATTTCTTAGAAGTATAAGGGGGCACCTTTAGAGGACATTAAAGTACATATACTTGGATAAGAAGAAAATGAACCAATTTATTAGATGGGACGTTATTTGGAATTAAGAAAAAAGGTTATTTAATGGCTCACGTCCTACTAAATTTTTACTATATTGAAACACCTTACTCATGGGTAATTATCTCTAATTATTGAATTTTGTTATAATTGTAGCCTGTTCCTAACAGACCATTTTTACTATTGAAAAACAAGTAAAAAAAATCAGAATCTCCTGTGGTAGTTTGTATTATAGTTAGTCTTTATGGACATTTGGAAGTAGTGTTATATTTCAGTGGCCACAGGCAAAGTTAAGAGTGAGAATTGCCATACCTTATTCATGCGTAGAAACATGAATAAGGACAAGGAAGCCAGAGTCTCAGTATTAGGATTCTCCATCATAAATTTATGATTCAAAATAGAGATTTAATCATGTCGATGAGGAGACATTTTGGTATTTTTAAGCAGGGAAATGATAATGTGATTTTCATCAAATTTGCATGAGAAAGAAATGTGAAGTCACAAATGACCCCTTGACTTCCATGTTTTACAACTGAGTGATGACAGTTGGACAAAAAAAAAAAAAAAAAAAAAAAAAAAAAAAAAAGCTATAAAAGGGAAAAAAGATTAGGATGGCGAGATCATTGTTTCAGCATTGAATACTGGAAGTTTGAGATGATTTGAGGACTCTATGGTAGGCAGTCAGGCACATGGGTTTGGTGCTCAAGAGAAATGAAAGCTGGAATCATGTTCTGATCACTGGCACAGATGACAGAAGCAATGCAGTTGGGAATGCAGTAAATATAAGCAGAACTGTATGGTCAACTTGGAACCCTTATTAGTGTGTATCCTGGTGTATTTTATTATTCCTTTATTTGTACCACAATGAGATATCTCTAAAGTATGAAACAGCCTACAAAATTATTATTTTTTCCTTATTTCTTCTGCCAGAACCCGCTTCTTGAGGACTAAATGTTTATTCTTAATGTCTAGTCTGAACTCTAGCAAATAAAAATGATAGTTAAGCCAGTGTTGTGAGACAACAAAAGAGTTTTCCTCAAAA